TTAGGGTTTAGGGCGTAGCATAGATAAAAAAGTGGGATTGCCTGGTTATTTCCAAAAGTACGCAGCCGAGCCAGATGATGAATTCGCATAGGCACGCCCAGTTTGGACAATTTGCCTACACCGACCAGAAACCTAAACCCTGAACCCTAAACCCTAAACCCTAAACCAGAAGCCCTAAACCCGAAACCCTAAACCAGAAACCTTAAACCCTGAACCCTAAACCAGAAACCTTAAACCTTAAACCAGAAACCCTAAACCAGAAACCCTAAACCAGAAACCTTAAACGGTCGTTTCGAGACTTCCCTTCCGGCTTTTCCTACTCAGGCTGAGAGGGGGGCAGACCTTTGCTTCGTACCTGGATCTAACCAAGAGGGCCCATTAGGTTCACAAACCAGGGACCTAATTCCATTATATATATATATATAGATGTATATATTTAAATGTTTCTTTAGATGTATATATGGACCCTCCAGGTAAACTAAAAGACGCAAGACCTCGTAGTGAATGAGACGCGCGGACTGGGCCGGCCAAAAGCTCGACGACAAAGCTGAAGTGAAACCTTTGCCGCTTGTTTTGCTAATTGACCGGATCTGGAAGGAACGACAGCAACAGGACAACCTCAGGCGATGCAACATCTGTTTCTGCTCAGACCTGTCACATCGATTCGTATGTGTAGTCCGTATGTGTGTGTGCATTCAAGCACTGTATGGACACTTTGTATATATTACAAAAGAAGTATATATTCATATATATATATATATGTATATGTATATATGTATATGCATGCCTTTACAGGTAGACAGACAGATAGACGGATAGATAGATAGCTGTGGAATAGTAGGCACATGTGAACAAATTTGCCTACTCCCAAATCACTAAACCACCGAATCACTCGTCCCGTGCCTGGACCGCTGCTCCGCCTCTAGACTACCGGCGACATCGGGGTTTTGGAGCTTCGGGCCGTGAGGTTTAGATTAAGACAGCTATGCGGCTTGATTGGGGGGGGGGGGTTCTGGATTCATGTGTCAAATACAGGTAGCTACGCTTGTACCTGTAGATCAATACGGCTACCCTATTGCGTAGCTTAGCTGCCATGAACCTTCAAGCAACCAGAAGGCGTACACGACATGTCAAAACCTGAAGCACAAAACCTCAAAACTTGAAACCCACTACAATCAAAGGCCCTACCTCGCCACAAACAAAGTGGCCTTCTCTCGTCCCAGAATCATGTTGGGGGTCGTTAAAACAATGTTGTTTTGTAAGGGTCCCTATCATCATGTATAGTCCGTGAAAAAACTGTTCTGAATAGGGATCCTACGACTAGAGCCGCTAAATCAAAGGGAAACTATGCAGCAGGCATCTGCATTGATGTCCTACAATACCACACGGAACTATATCATAATAAACCAAGATACCAAAGCATACCAGAACGTTACATAACATAATATCATGTACTGTACTATCACATACCATGATTTCCTACCAGGTACTATGAGATGGTTTTAAACATCCCCTGTCATGGGCAACGCTAACTCTCTCCGCGGCTGTAAGTACGGTAGAACTGGGTGTTAGAAAACCTGCAAGAAAAGTCAGCTGGCAACCCAAGTGACGGGTTTTGGGATATTTCGAATTTGGGGTTCGGGGTGTGCAGTCGAATCATTAAGGCACCCTTTTTTAACGTAACCCGCCTCCTCGGCTGCAGACTCGGCTTTGGCTACGGCTGCGAGAAGCTCGGGGACACTCAGGTCCTTGACTGTCTGGTGCTTAGTAGGGAATGCGGTTCCTTTAAAGGTTCCAGTGAGGGTTATACTTCAGGGGTTGTACTATACGGGTTTAGGGTTCTTAGTAAACTGTCTGGTGCTTAGTAGGGAATGGGGGAATGGATCCCAATACTAGTCCCTATATAACCCCCAACAATAGTCCCCATAATCCATTCCCCCACTCCCTACCAAGAACCAGACAGTTGAGGCGTGGGAGCGGCTTTCTTCGGGGGCGGTGTTTTGAGGTTTCTATGAATTTCTAGAGGTCTAGGGTTCAGGGTTTATAAGGGCTTAAGGTTTCTGTAGGTTCCAAAAAACTTCTGCAGGTGTAGGGTTGACTTTAAGGTTTCAGGGTTTAGGGCTCTATAAGGGAACTCTAAGGGCTTTATACACTGCTTGGAGGGTCGGGGGTAACTGCTTATAAGTACCATAACCCCAATTAGGGTCCCTTTTAGGGTACTTATAAGTCTACTTACTACCTACTTACTAAGTCCCCCGACCCTCCAAGTGGGGTTTCAGGATTTCGGGCTCAGGGCTGGGAGTTCAGAGTTTGGCAAGTTCAGGATTCGCGCGGTTTCGTGCTTCTGGTTCCCAGAGACTCCAATATCCCTTAATTACGGGATATACCTAAGGGTTGCTTTAAAGGGATCCTTTAAGGGATCTATAGGGTTTAGGGTTTAAGGGATTCTAGTAATTATGCCTTGATTAGGGAATATACCTTAAATTATAGTAGGATCCCT